GGCTGGACTTTCTACTCCCGTAAACACTGACAGTTTCCAAAACCCACAGGGGGTCATTAGGAATCAGCGCTGACTCCACAGCGGCGAGTCTGGTGTTTTTGTTTTTAACTCTTTGTGAGAGTAGAAAGCCCCGTCTTTCTCCCTTGGACCATACCTTTCGCAAAACAAACCAAAAGCGCACACTCACCGCCATCGAGTTGATCCTGACTCACGAGGACCCTACAGGACAAGGCAGAACTGCCCCCCTGTGAGTTTCTGAGGCTACGGGAACAGAAAGCCCCGTCTTTCTCCCGAGGAGTAGCTGGTGGATTTGAACTGCTGACCTTGTAACCACTGTCCAATGACAACGGATGAATGGCCCAAGCTGTTCATTTGGATAATTGACGTTTGCGCACTTAGGATGAATGTATCATAGCAGATGGAGAGGTGCTTCCACCAAAGCATGGGACAGATAATGGCTTGGCTGATCCAGGTAACATAGTGGGCCATGCCTTGGGCTGATGCTACCTGGAAGGGCAGCAGTTCAAACCCACCAGCCACTCCAAGAGAGAAAGAGGAGGCTTTCTACTCCCACCAAGAATTACAGTCTCAGAAACCCAGAGGGGCCGTTCTACCCTGTCCTATGGGGTCGCTGAGAGTCAGGATACACTAAATGAATGACCCTTGGCCTTGTCTCACGCCAAGCCGACCCCAGCAGTGGGCCAGGGAGAACAGCTTGGCTTTGGAGACAAGCCTTGGAGGTGCCCTGGTGGCATAATGGTCCTAAGTTGGGCTGCGAACTGCAAGGTCAGCACTTCAAAACCACCAGCTTCTCCTCGGGAGAAAGACGGGGCTTTCTTCTGGTAGAGCTACCATCACGGAAACCCCCCAGGGGCAGTTCTATCGTGTCCTGGAGGGTCACTGTGAGTCAGGACCGACTCCAGGGCAAGGAGGGTGGTTGTATGGTCTGTTACAAAAGGTAAGGTCCAAGGTGGGGGCTGAAGGCTGCCTCCATCACTTACTGGCTGGTGGCCAAGTAGACCCCAGTTTTCTCCTCTGACTAATGGGACCAGGTGACGCATGTGGGTGGGTAATGCCTGGGATGGGTTACTCTCCTCCCCTCCCCTCTCTGTCTTAAGCCTTGGAGTCAGGACTGGCCCTTTAACACGGGGGAGGGGCCAGGTCCTTGCCAGGTCCAGGAAACTGGGCAGAACTGGTTCCCAGGCTGGTGGGCAGTGAGGCTGGGGGACTGAAGCCAGGGAGGTAAGGGGCTCTAGGATTTGGCATGTTTGGGGAGGGGGTGGGCAGTCGGCTGGCTGCCAGCAGCTCAGGACAAGGTCCAGGCCAGTGGGCGGGACGTGTGAGGGGGTGATCATGGCCTGCTGCCCACTGGGAACCTCGGCACAACTCGGGGTGTCCCACGCCAGGCCTGCTTGGGAGAAGGCAGCGGGCCCTGAAGGCCTTGGGGGTGGGAGAGTAGGTCTTAATGGCCAGAGGGACAGGAGCTGGGCACTGTGCCCGCCGAGGGCCAGCCAGGATTTCCCAGCCCTGGCGCCAGGGGTGTGGCCTTAGGGTGTCACCGAGATGGCCTATGGGGAAGGCTCTGGGGACTGCAGAGGAGTGGGGGTGCGTGAGATTGGTGGCCAGGGTGGGGGTGGGGGTGTCGTCCGTGGCCGGCCATCTGATATGGACTCGTGCGAGTGAGTGCAGATTGGAGCTGCTCCAAGGGGTGCAGGTGGAGGGTGGTCAAGGCTGTGACCTTGACTAGGAGCCGATGGCCAGGCCTGTCTTCCGAGGCCCGAGAAGGTGGGTTTGAAGGGCCAGCTTGTCAGAGCTGCACGCCTTTCGTCCGAATTGTTTGCACCCCACCCTGACTCTGAGAGGGCAGACCCTTCTCCCCTGCCCTCTTTTAGGGGCGAGGCCGGCCAGGCCAGCAAAGCCCGAGCCTCCTGCCCTGCTGCTTCCCAGGCCTGCGCCCTGCTGGGGTCCGGGTGTGACAAGACTCTGGGCACTGTGGGAATTGCTCGTTTAACTGATGCCTGCTATCCCTTGGGTTATGAGTGGGGCTGCTAACTTCAAGGTCGGCAGTTCAAAACCGCCAGCCGCTCTTCGGGAGCAAGACAGCGCTTTCTACTCCAGTAAACAGTGACCATCTCCGGCAGGTCCACCCCGACCTAGAGGGTCACTGTGAGTCGGATGGACTTGGTGGCAGCAAGCTACCCTTTTGCAGAATGTCGGTCCTACTTCTGGGGACTCCTGGGGATTGGGCTAAGAGCATTTGGCTCCTAAAGACAACTGGAAATTAATGATTAAATGTAATTAATGATTAACCGCCCACACCTCGGGTAATAGGCTAACAGCCACAAGGGAAAGGCGGCCCCAGCGGTGAGGCCGCCTGGGCTGTCCGCCGTGTCCTTTCAGGCTGTGTGGCCTTGGACAAGTTACTTGATGTCTCTGGGCCTCCGTGTCCTGGTCTGCAAGTGGAGGTCACCTACCGTTTCTCATAAGATTGTCGCAGGGATGAAATGAAAGCTCACAGACGGTCCTTGGAGCAGTGTCCTGCTTGCGATTCAGGCCGGCCCTGCTGTCATGGTGGCCGTCAATACCGTGACTTTGCCATGATGAGGAAGAGATGTGCCCGTGGAGCACGCTCTGTGCCAGGCACAGACTCAGCGATCATTGTCTCCCTTAATCCTCCCAGCCACCCACGGTGCACAAACCCTTCTTCCGGCTTGTTGTACAGGCTGTGCCTCCTCAGGCCTCTGCCGGCCTCCCTCTCCCTCCCCAAGGCCATCTTAGATAAAATATGCTGATTTCTCTCTCTAGGCAGTTTTCACCATTTCTGACGACTTTGTTCATCAGGGTGGTTATTTGTGAAGTGCTTATCTCCCCCAGCAGACGACAAATCTGTTCCCAAAGGAGAGGCCCCTCTGGCTTACTGAGGCAGCCCTGGGGCCTGGGCAGGTCGAGTGGAAGGCATGCAGGCCAGCTCTGTCCTCCGCCCAGATGTTAACAACAACATCTCCACTCCAAATAACTCGGCTGAGGGCTACTGTCATTGCTAGGGGCTTCCGAGTCAAAGCCACCCCACGTACCACCGAGCAAAACGCTGCCCGGTCCTGCGCCAGCCTCACAATTGTCCCAATGTCTGAGCCCCTAGATACAGCCACAGTGCCCATCCTCTCGTGGAGGGCCTTCTTCTTTGTCCTTGCCCCTGTCCTTCTCCAGGGACTGGTCTCTCCTGACATGTCCCACGTAGGTGAGACGGAGTCGCACTGTCCTGGCTTCCAAGGAGGCATCTGGCCATCCTGACCCTCTGGCCATTTGTGATCCTTTCAACAGTCTTCCCCTGCCCCACCATCCAAACCCGTGGGTTTTCCTTTGATCTCCCTTATCGACGGTCCAACATTCACACACATAGGAAGGAGCT